CAGTTATATGATTTGTTATGTGTAGGATTTGTAATGCTTTCGCACATGGCTTAAGTAAGAGTCATGGGACGTGTGCCTGGCGAGTATGCCTTGCGAGTGTGTCTTGCGGGTAAGCCTTGCACATATGATTTATGTTTAGCACATGACCTCGTTATGAGGTTATGGGTTTCACACATATGACTCAGTCGAGTCATATGACTTGTTTATTATGTTATGATTGGTTTATAAGTTTTTGTACATGACCTTGCTATGAGGTCATGGGTTTTGAGCATGTGATCACTTTGGTCACATGACTAGTTTGTTATGATTTGGTTTTTGCACATGTGACCACTTTAGGTCACATGACTATGGGCGAGAATAGTACTATATAAGAAGGCCGATGCGGCCAAGGAAGATAGGTTCTTCACGCTTTGTTCTAAGTACTTTTCCTCGTCCTTGCCGTCGCTTCGCCCCGAGCGTTTCTTTCGCCATCATGATGGGCCTTGATGTCTTTGATTCTGGGGGAGATATCTGAGTTCGCTCAGTAGTTCCTGGGGTCTTTGGTGTTGAGGTCTGTTAGGTGTTGCGTGGCGGATAACTTGTTTGCGTCACGTTTCGTTGGACTGGTTATCTCACGATACCAGCACTTCGAGCACTCATCACGGTCGCATACGAGCCCCTTTCGGTAAAATGTCTACGGCTTCCTGTCTATCGTCTACTCGCAGGTTTCGCGTTCGATTGGGGGGATTGAACATTGTGTTTGGGGGGATCACCCGTGTCGTTCTTTGGGCCAGCTCATGTCTTTTGTTGGGTTTTAACGGAGTCCTTAGTTCACGTAATACAAAACGCCCTTGGGTTAGACTGATGACCTTCCCAAGTATCAACTCGTCGTACCGGCCGCATCATTTCCTCAAGGGAGGGGGCCTCACCGGCCCCTCCCTGCCTCGTTACTTTATGTTTCTACGGTCGGAATCCTGCGATGTTGTTTATCACTGTTCCCTTGGAAGTTTTGTCCTTGCGGCATATGCGGTGGTTCAGTCAGGTGTCACCTCCTAGCTACGGTGGGGATGGCTTTGACCCTGAAAAACCTTACCCCCTGGAGTGGTTTTTCTTTGCTGCCTGGGGTGGTGTGGGACGATTGGCTGCCAGGCACTCGCGTTGTCTGTGCGTCTGGGTGGTTCAGTTGTGGTCTGTGGTTGGCGGCTTCACCCATTGCAAGTGGGGCCTACCTTCCGTTTGTCTGCTTCTGTTCATTCGCCCTTCCCCATCTTGTCGCATCAGTTGGGGATGCCTCTTGCCCGTTGTTCGGTCCGTACCTGTTGCCGGACCTGTGGGGCTGGCTTTGGCTGGCTCTGCTTACTCTTCCCGACTCGGCTGGATTTCGGTTCGGCTGGGTTGGATGGTGTGGCTGGTGCCTGTGCCTTCGGGTGTTGGTGCTGCCTCCTTTGTGGCTCCCGGCTGTGGCTGGTGGGCCCCCCTCGGCTATATGGTGCTGAGGGTTGGGGCTCTGTTTGTGTGGCCAAGATCAATGGCTGCCTGGCGGGGCTGGGTATAAGCTGTCCTGTGGCCATTGGATGGTTGTTCTGTCTGAGGGGCTGGGGGGGCTGGATGGGCTCTGTGGCGTCTGGTGTGTGGGGCTTGGGTGGGGCTGATTGGGGGGGGAGAGTCACCTGCGAGCACCGGTCGGACATGCGTCAGGTTGGGCGATGTCTAATTAAGTGTTTCCGGACCGGTTTGGGCTGCTGGGCGAAGCTGCTGAGTGCTGTAAAGCTCCCCGGCGGACCGCTGGACTGATAGCCACCTGTGCGGATAGTGGATTGCGACCACCTGGTTGGACTTGTTTGGGTTCTGCGTGCTGGGTGTTGTGGAAGTTTGTTTGGTTTCTTTGGTTTGGCAATGGGCATGGCTGGCAGGGGCAAGGCACCACGGGTGGGAGATAGGCCCCACTGACTATTTCGGTCTGTCACCACCTCTATGTATTTCTTTTGTTCATGTGTTTTATGTTGGGGGACAGGCAGCGGGTACAGGTCCTCCTCACCATTACGCTCCTCGGAGGCACTTGGCAAAGTGGGTTTATAGGGTCGACGGCCTGGCATGCGGATGCGAGAGGTGGACATGCTGGTCACCTCCTCTCTGCCATTGTGTCGCCTGTAGTTTATATTTGGTTTGGTTTGTTGTTGGTTTTCTACTGTGGTGGAGGTGTTGCGGGACGGTATTTAGACCGAGTGGTAGTGGTTTTGATTTTGTTGGACGAGGAACCTGGTTGGGTTGGTCTCTTGCTCAGCTTCGGCTACGCTTGGTGCTGGTTGGCTTCATACCAGAGGGGCTACGGACTCGGACCGGGGAGGGCGCTGGGTTGTTTGATGGTCTTGTAATTAGTTTCCGTGTGGGCATGACTCGGGGATGGCAGGTGCGGGACCATAGACTTAGTTAGCCTAGGAGTAGTGGTATACCGGTTAGCGGTATTCCTGTGCCGGCGGGGGCTCGTCATATGCCAGTGTTGGCGGTACGAGTTTAAATAAAATTAGATTGACTTCTAAGTACTTTTCCTACTTATTACTTTAACGAATATAAAAACACCTTTATGATCTTTATCTTTACTGTAACATTATTGTTACACCGAGGAAGGCTCTTTACAAAGAAGAGTTAGAGAAAACTTACGATAGGCATTTCTGATAGAAGACAAAAGTCTTGTACTATCGATAACGTAAGCAGAGGCCTAGCGTTATCGTAAGACGAAGGAAAAAGAAGTAAGAGAAGAGAAGTATCGTTCCCCATCGCCAAGAACTAACCATCCGAGGAGGGATCATTCCAAATATTATCCAACTTGAAGACTACTTCGCTATCCTCTGAGTGGACTACTGTCCTGACTGCAATAATGCTTGGGTAGATGTACAGCATGAATCTGGTATTTGTGACTACTGTGACCTGCTTTTCTTTGAGTCTCAATATTTTCTTAGGATTTCCTCTTGTCCCTGATGTGACACTTATGATGAAGAGCTGATAGCGGAAACTGAAGCATTTAGTTTCTCAGACTCCACTTTTAATGATTATTAGGTTTTGTTTATTTAAACAGTTGTTTTGTTTTGGAGAATGTAACCGGTACGGGTACTCGATTATTGGTTTTGTTTTATGTTTTATTTTAAGTATCGTTTAATACTTGGTTTTGTTTTATGTTTTGTTTTAAGTATCGCTTTGATACTTGGTTCGTTTTAAGTATCATTTGATACTTGGTTTTGTTTTAACTATCATTTTGATATTTAGTTCGTTTTAAGTATTGTTTGATACTTGGTTTTGTTTTATGTTTTATTTTAAGTATCGTTTTGATACTTAAATTAGTTTTACCAAAGTGTGTCGATTGATACCTTTGATTAATTTCGTTCATGCTAGACAGGAACAGATTTGTGTATTTAAAGACCACCTGATTCCACGATGGAAAATGCAACCGGTACGGGTACTCAGTTATTGGTTTTGTTTTATATTTCGTTTTAAGTATCTCTTTGATACTTGGTTTGTTTTAAGTATTGTTTGATACTTGGATTTGTTTTATGTTTTGTTTTAAGTATCGCTTTGATACTTAATTAGTTTTACCAAAGTGTATCGATTGATATCTTTGATTAGTTTCGTTCATGCTAGACATGAACAGATTTTTGTATTTAAATACCACCTGTTTCTACGATAGACTTCGACAGACTTCGACAGACAGTATTTCAATCTACTTGCTTGAATGGTTACTTCTTTGTTCCTCAGTACACCCTCGAAGCCTCCTTTAGTTCTCAGCTCTCACCTCCTCTCTGGAAGAGCAGGCCACCTGCCAACTATCGTATCTATTACCGATAACGTGATTAGCACCTTGCGAACACGTTACAGAATAGGCAGACTTCGACAGACAGTATTTCAATATACTTGATTGAATGGTTACTTCTTTGTTCCTCTGTACACCTTCGAAATCTCCTTTAGTTCTCAGCTCCACCTCCTTTCTGGTAGAGCAGGCCACCTGCCAACTATCATATCTTTACTGATAACGTGACTAGCACCTTGTGAACACGTTACATAAATCGTGTTGAGAATGTTTGGTCTATCCTGAAGGATAGGCTGAATAAGCACCACCCACGACCAGAGGATATGGAAGGAATGGCACAGGCTATACAGGAGGAATGGCAACAAATCTCTGATGTTCATCTATTAACCTTTATAAATTCAATGCCAGAGAGAATAGAGGCTATTATCACTGCCTTTGGGGGCCATACCTGCTGGTTAATATTTAATTGTTTTCAAATCTTTGTATTTATATTTATTTTTAATTTTAATATTTAATTCTTAATATTATTCATTTGTTTGTTTACACATTAAAGTCATGCGAAGAATATTCACTTTTTGGTTATATTTTTCCCTTTTTACCTACCTTAATACTAACTACTTTTGTAATTTACAAGGTTAATTCAGTCTCCTTGGCAATAGGTTCTCAGCCCTATATCCCTGCTGTGTTCGGTCCATTCATGCCCGGGACTTGTACAAGTCTGATGCTGTGCAGTTCCGTGTCTCTGAGCTTCCGGCGTGTCTGACTGCGGCCGAGCCAGGCAACTCACCCCCTATCGTACCGGTACAGTACCGGTACCCGGCGCTGGTACGTGGTTTCAGAGTTACTTTTTTTTGCTAAATTAATCATGCTTTATGTCCCCCTAAGCCTACAACCCTTACCTGTAGGTTGGATTAGGGACCGACTGGACCGAGTCCCGATAGCATGTAAAATGGTCTACTGTGCTCGTACTGTACCAATAATTTGTCAAGCCGTCTCAAGACTGCTGGTAGCTGCTCACTACTCGTACGAGTCACAACTGATGGGAGGTTCCAATTGACGGAGCTGACGAAGCAAAACCGCCAAGACCTTTTGAGTGTTTCTCGCGCCTCGACGCGTTAACCCTTCAACCCCCCCCCTTTGTTCTACGTGTTGTTGAGCTAAATCGCCCACAACCATCGTCATTCCTCCACTTAAGGCCGTCCGCCAATTCCCGTTCAACATGGCCGACGACAAAATGGATCCCAATCTAATACCTGCACCTGCCCTTGCCGATGATGGCGGGACTCCTGCGCTGTTCAGCGAGGTTACCTTCTACATAGTCGAGAGCCCGGAACTTGTACATGAAGCTGCCCGAGAGGTATGGTTTCAGAGCTGTCGCGGATTGCGATGGGTTTTTGGTGTTATTATTTTTACTGACAAATTGGTAGATCGCCCGGATGCTCATTGAAAATGGTGCTCTGGAATCCAAACCTCTTGGAACAGGCTCTGCGATGCAACTGGACTTGCAAGAGATTACTCACATCATATCCTCCACAATTGATTTTCCTGACTACTCAGAGGTTGAGGGTCTTATGATCCCAGTGGTTAAACCGGAATGGGTAAACTTCTCAATACAGAAGAACCGTATCGCTCATGTGCGCCCATACACCCCTGACCCTAGATTTTTCCTTTGTGGAATCATTGCTACAATTGCGGAGCTACCGGTTGGTGACAAGGAGGCAATCTGCGGAGGGATAATTGCTATGGGTGGGCAGTATGGCAGCAACTTGACAAAGTTTACAACTCACATAGTCGCATTGAATATGGACAATGTAAGTTCGGGGCGGCATTCTCCGGTTTGGATAAAAGCGACCCTAACTTCATCGCCCTTGTAGGAGAAATGCAGACAAGCTGTAGCTAAGAGGATGTCGATTAAAATTGTTTTACCGCATTGGTTCGATGATTGTCTTAAGCTCGGGCGTCGCATTGATGAAGCACCCTATCTCCTCCCGAATCCTGAAATTGAACGAGTTGCCAACTTTGAACCAATGCCCCTACCAAAAGGCCCCGACCTGACCTATAGCCATGCTCATGACGGGGGGGCAATGGCTCTTGACCCTCCATCTCCGAAGCGCAGCTCGTCGGTGTTTGAACGCAAGAAGATTCGATTGGGCGAAGACTTGGAATTGAGCCCGAGGCTGAAGTCAGTTATAGCTACTGTTATTGTTCAAATGAAGGGCGAGGTTGTGGACAAAGTGGAGGATGCCGATATATATGTTGGCCAGTTCCGAGGTGGAGAGGAATATCTAGAAGCGAGCCATGTAGGCATCCATGTAGGCAGCCTAACTTGGCTGTATTGGATTTGTGCGCATGGAAGATGGACTTCTCCTCTGGCCAAGTTGCTTCACTATCCACTCGTTAGAGGCGGGCTGCCCGGGATGGAGAAATTTGTGAGCATGGTTCATATCGTGGAAAATTGTGAATTTACTAATAAAAGAGCAAATGCAGAAAATAACTGTGTCCAATTATGGCGGAGATGCTCGGCTCTACCTGGAGAACCTGATTGAAGCCTGCGGAGCCAAGTTTACGAAATCGATGAAGACTGAGAATACGCATCTTATTACGGCAAGGTTTTCATCCCAATTTCTCCAAAAAAAAAAAATAAGGATTACCAGTGTCTAACGGTGAGCGGCGACAGGAGCCATAGTGAAAAATGCCAGGCAGCGAGAGAGTGGAATATTGACATGGTCAATCATTTATGGCTCGAAGAATCCTACGCTAAGTGGGAGATTCAAAGCGTAACGAACCCAAGATATACCCACTTTCCGGCCCGCACCAACCTCATGGAGGTTGTTGGCCAAACCCCAATGGATGTAAAAGCACTTGAGCAGTTTTACATGAATGATGATGATCTGATGAGCGTGGATGAGGGTAGTGGACCTGCCGCCAACGGAAAACGACCCAAATCCACTCCACGGGTAAAAGCTATTAATAAACGCACCTCGCTTAACAATACATCGACTCCTTCAAGATGGTCCAATGATGAACTCTCTGGCCCATCTCCCTCCATCTCGGGAAGTGGGCGAAAGGCGAAGGAGCAAGCTGCTGCAAGGCTTCATGACCAGATAATGCCCGATTTGATGCAGTATGAGAAAGAACAGAAGAGAAAGGGAGGGATTCTGGGCGGAGGGCGTATACGCAGGAGTAAGAGCCCAGCTGATGAGAGGACAAGGAAGCGAACGGTATCAATGGGCGTCGATAGTACCGACGAGGACTCCAGGACTGATAACAAAAAGCAAAAAAAGCGCCCACGGCCTACTGTTTATCTACTTATGACTGCATACCGGGATTGGGTTAATCAACCACACAGAGAAGATACTGATAGGGTAAATATGGAGCGCTCCCTTGGGATTAGGAGTATTACTAATAATGTACAGAAAGCGCTTGCCGATCTAGGCATTCAATGTGTCAATGATCCTACGACATGCACACACCTCGCAGCGCCCCACATCGTACGAACCGAAAAGTTTTGCTGCGCTCTGGCGAAAGCACCAATCATCGTTTCCACGGAATGGCCAAAGGCATGCCTCAAAGAGGAGAAAATCGTGGACACCGAACCATACCTCCTCCACGACTCTGACGGCGAGAGGAGACTCTCTATGAGTCTTTCACAATCTCTGGAACGTGCAAGGAAGAACAAGGGTCAACTTTTACAAGGCCAGATTATTTATGTTACTCCGGGTGTTCATGGAGGCTTTGAGACCTATCGCAAGATCGTGGAGGCCAACGGAGGCGTCTGCCTTTTATTCCGTGGTCCCGCAAAGCGAGCGACCAACTTACCCGATAGTGACACTCTGGTTCTTCTGAGCGGAGATGACGCTGCCGATAGGAGGTTTTGGAATCCTTTCCTCAAAATGGCTAGGACTAAGGAGAAAGAGGCGGTGGTTTACAGAGCAGATTGGCTACTAGACCTAGCAATGACCCAGAAAATAGAGTGGACGGAGAGGTACAAATTCCCTGAGTAATTGATGTGTCACCTCCTTTGGAATTCTTGGGAGGATGCGCGGATTTTTATTGGGTGTTTCTTGTGAGGATGTGTGTGGGGGTATCTTTCTTAATTCTTGTTCTCTTATCATACATTTCATGTATTCCGAATAATCTGTGCGGTTAGGATTGGGGTTAGAAACAAGCATTTGGCGTATAGCGGTCATGGTGGCCCGTGGTCTGGGTCTATACCGGTGGTTGTTAGTAATGTCAGGCTGTCTCGTGTGTTGTTGTTTGCATGGCAATTTGTAGACTGGGGTTTTGATGGGATCCAAGTTCGTAGCTTGGAGATGAAGATAGACTGGCTCGGCTTTTTTACATTTCTCTGGGCGTGAAAATGGGAAGATTAATGTGTAATAACACTGCTTCAATGTTATGATAGCGAATGTAGGCAGCGTACAGTACCTCGCAGCCAATGGAGGAAAGCACTTGTACAGAGGAGAGAGTGGGAGTAGCAGCTTCACCCGCTCCCTCCCCCAGACGGCAGCATGCAAGAGTGGTGTTTGACCACCGTTGTCTGGGATGCTGGGGTTGACATCATCCCGCCCAAGCGGCAACTTCACTGCCCCCACGTGGCGATAGCGGGAAGCCCACGAGAGTGGCGGAAGCGCCTTGATTGTACTCGAGCTCGAGTAGAGTGGAGATGATCTACTATTCTATTACCGGTATTGGGGTACTATTGTGGCAGTATGATATTATGATACTATACCGTTTGACCGGCAGACTGATTGTATTAACTTTTAAGTGAATCAGGGTTGATTTTTGTAAAACAGCCCAAGGTTTGCCACGTTGACTAAAATGTATCAGCCAGGGTTACGAACATGATAGCCCGGGGGAGCACCTACGAGTACAGCTCCAGCGAAAGCTTGGCCCAACACCAACCTGCGTTCAGCAACACCCAAGCTCACTTTCGTCGGAGAAACAACCCCCCCCCCCGCCTCTACCACCGCCAATCGCCTACTGACCGCATCGCTCAATACTAACACTTCAACTCGCACATGTAGACCTCGATGCATCGCCGTTCCCTCGCCATCACCGCTGTGATCCTGCTTCTACTCCTTAACACGACAGCTCAATTCTTCCCTTCCCTCCGCCTAATCGTCTGGGCCTTCTTCACCGGCAGCACCGCGTCCATAATCCTATTGCTAGTCTCGGGACTCTTCACTGTCCATCGCCGCCCAAGCGACAACAATGTCCTCAAGACCATCAAACCCCTCGCCTTTGCATCGCCAGCGCTCTGGTCCAAGGAAGTCGAAGCGATAGCGTTGGAAGACTCCTTCTACAGACTACCCTTATACCCGCCGTCGTTCGTGCTCTCGGACTCTATCGATGTATTCCTTGAAAACGTCCTTCGGGACTTCGTAAGCTCCTGGTACTCGAAGATATCCTCCGACCCGTCGTTCACTATTCAGGTCGATCGGACAATTCGTCATGCGCTAGGCGTCTTGCGGGATCGGATACAGGGTTTGGACCTTGTGGAGGTTATCGTCGGAAAGATTGTACCGCTGCTGACGGCTCACTTGCACGATTTTTCCGCCGCCGAGAGGGCCGTCAGGGGGAAGCATCTTAACAAAGATCTTACGGAGTCGGAGGAGCTGGATTTGGCGATTGCTGGCAAGTACCGAGAGGGGAAGCTTCACCCCGCGGCTAGCTTGAAGTTTTCGGATACGAAGCTTGCGCAACAGGACCACTTGAGGCTTCTAGTGGATAATATATTACCCGTGCTATTGCCTGAGAGGGAAAGGAAGAGTAGGGCCGTTGCGACAATTGTGAAGGAGATTGTGGCTTGTGGCATTTTGTTCCCGGTTATGGGGATACTGAGCGATCCAGATACTTGGAATCAATTTATTGAAGCTATAGTACGTGCCGCAATTCTTTGTTTCTCCGACAAGGAGTTCGATCGGTTGTCGAGCTGTACATGTATGCTATTGCCGTGTGGCATCGTTAACCGATGTTCGTCTCTTTAGGGTCGGTCAACTCTCCAAGATCGTAAAACTGTTCGAAAGCTCAGAGCTGCCCTGGATCAACATGCTACTCCACGGCACCCAAACTCCCTCGGCCACTCGAGGAATTACTCTCAGGTGGAACTTGCGCCAAGTCAACCATTCATACGGCTTTCTGCCAAAGACGACGAACGCACTTTCGAGCGCTTTATTCGGTCTATCAGGCTTTGTAACAACCTCTCCGACGCTAGAAGATTGAGGAATGAGGTCAGTGCTCAATTGAAGAGAGACGAAAGGGTTGAACCAAAGGAAGGATGGGCTGTCTACCTACGTAGGCTAGAGACCGGCAAGCGAGAGGTTGATAAGAGGGTTGCTCAATTATCGGCCAGTGTTGCGGGACCAGGCGGTGGACCTATAAGGACACATTCGGAGGTGCTCGTTCCCAAACAGGCTACAACTAGTCACTTGGAGTTTGCCACTCCGCAACAGGTTCTTCGAGATTCATCTGGGCTGTCTTACTTCATGGTTTGTGGGTGGCTTCTACAATATAACCGCTTTACTGACCGATATTCTAGGAGCATATGGACCGGCGTAGACGCTTGCCCTTAGTGCAGTTCTGGCTTGTTGTTGATGGCCTTCGTAATCCGTTGGAAGAAGATGTATCATCATCCGACGACGAGCAGGAAACATCCACTTCTACTGCTCATGCTGCTTGGACACTGTCGGATCGAGCTGACCTAGCCCAAATCCATGAAGCATATTTATCAATGCCGGAGCTTCAAATTCGAGAAAGGACCAACCTCGCTGTGAAAGAATTTCTTAAAGCAGGGAGTAATGCAACACAGGAACAGTACATACGGGCAAGAGCGGCTGTGTTGAGGGCTCAGACGGCAGTATTTGAAGAGATGCAGCAGAAGGACTTTCCCGAGTTTAGGGCTAGTGATTTGTTCTACAAGTATTTGGCCTCTGACGAGACTGCCGCATCACAAGTGAGGCCTGTGTCTGACCGGACGAGCCGAGAAATGGTCCGGAGCTCTTCATGGGCCAATGCTTCGCACCCCTCGGAAACATCAGATCCCATGATATCGTCGAGACATTCCCTAGACGGCGCCAGGCCCGCAGAAAGGTCTCTAGATGATTGGGACTTTGACCCGCTGTCAAACTCCCGACAAAGCCTTGACGAGGAGCCACCCCAATACTCACAGTATCTCAGCCAACCCCAACAAGAACCGGGAAGACATAGCCCGGAGGATGGCATTGTGGAAGCAATGGAAGCAGCGCTGAACGACATCATCGAAGACCGCCCAAGCCTCGACGAGAGCAGAAGCTCGCCATTCCAGAATAGCCCTGTTCTAACAGGACCTAATTCACCGCGGAGTTCGATCGACGTATCCCGGGATAGCAACAGTAATGGTACTGGGAGCGGGAACGGGAACGGACAGAAGTTCACCGCGGTATCTGCGGTCAAAGAGAAAGCGAAGGCGAAACCACCGAGTATTTCTTCCCTCGGCCTCGTTGGCACGGGTCCTAGCGGTGGCGTATTCGCTGACGACGAGTTATTCCCTGACGAGGCGGCTGTGGTCGATTGTCACTCTTCTGGCGAGGAAGCCGAGGACAAGGATGGCCCGGATGGGGGTAGTGGATCTGATGATGAGATTCGACAGGCTGCGCCTGGGGATCTTGGACTGGCAGAGGCGATCGCTGCGTTGACGTTTGATATCGAAAAGCTGTCTACTCAGGAGGCGGTTGTCGATAGCCTTTACCGGAAAGCAGAGTTAACGAATAATACTGTTGAGCTGAGGATCCTCGGGAAGAGTAAGGCTAGCTTGCATCGTGAGATTCGGAGGAAGGAGCTTCAGAGGCAGCAGTATATCGTTCAGGAGAGTGACAATAGCCTTTATGTGAGATTTGTGATTACGCTATGGAATTTGATACGTCGCGGCTAACTAGGTTCCTAGGGCCGCGCAAAAATAAGGATCAAATCCACCAGGGTCGGCAGGGAGAACGGCCAAGAATACGCTCTCTGTAGTTGACCCCCCGTTATCTCCTTTACCGTAATCAAACTAACTCTGCGCAGATATAATAGAAGTCCACCGCCCCGCCGGTGACCAAATGCCGCCAGCAACCTGGACCGTTCCCCGCCGCTACAGCGAATTCCTAAACTTACACCAAACCCTCCGTAGCACCTTCCCGAGTGTCAAACCGCTGGACTTCCCTCGACGTCGGGTAGTAATGAAGTTCCAAAAAGACTTTCTGGAAAAACGTCGAGTCTCACTGGAAACCTACCTCTGTTCCCTCCTCCTTTTGCCAGACGTCTGCAGAAGCCGAACCTTTCGTTCCTTTCTCTCACAAAATCACATCGCGCCTACACCTTCCGCCTCCTCTTCTGACCCGGGCATATTAACACCGGCAGACTACCGCCGCGACATAATGTCCCGACTCTACAACTCAATAGCAGATGGGGTGGAAGACGTCCTGGGGACAATTCCACTACTGGACCAACTATCCCAACAAAACCCTCCTCCCTCCATCCCCTTCCCCCCCCTCCCCCAGCTTCAGCACCAATCCAATCCTCCAAGCATAATCCCCGGCGAAACCATCGATGCAGCAGAAGCGGAGGCCGAACTCTCCGCCTTTGAAAACCGCGAATCAACACCCTTCGTAAAGCCCATCTGCGATATCTTCTTGGAAGTATTCCAGCTGAATCGGGGAAGTAATTGGCTCCGCGGCCGTGCTGTAGTAGTCGTGTTGCAGCAGTTACTCGGCGGGACGATAGAGCGGAAGGTACGTGAGCAGGTGCGCGGGTTGGTTGACGAGGAAGAAATTATCCGATATTTGGACATGCTGAAGGCGACTCTCTGGCCGGAGGCGGTAGCTACAGGGCAGCAGCAACAGCAGGCAGGGAGGGGTGCGAAGGAGAAGGTCAGGGCAAGGAATGAAGCCAAGATCATACTTGCTACGCTCATACCGGACCTTGCGGGGAGTGTTGTTGGGAGGGAAAATGCTAGGGCTGCTGGGAGGAGGTTGTTTGCTGGGTTGAATAATGGGAGGTTGAAGTGTGTCCCTCCTTTTTCCTCCCTTGATAAGGTGGGTTGGGCTGACGTGTGCGTGGTGGGGTTTAGTTCATCGATTGTGTATACGATTCTGGATGAGCTTGTTGGAATTGTGTTTGACGAGCGGTTGTAGTTGACATCATATTAATATCGCAGAGGAAGTGGAGTGGAGTGCGGGGTAATGATGTAAATGTATTTTATATTCCATTTGTCGTAGTAGATATCTTAAATTTCCTTCCTTATGCCTTGAACGAGTTCCCCCGAACGGAGTAAAGGGATAGTAATGTAGTCCTTTTTTTTTTTTTTTTTTTCAATAAGCCGAAATTATCCCACCAGAGGAGGAAGACCTCGTGCGATATTATAAAAATAATAATAATAATACCGAAGGGGGGTCGTTCATTCAAGTGAATGTTTCTGTCTATTCCTCCACCCCATCTACGCAGGGAAACCCCCCAGTGTCTCCTTTCCCCAAAACCAATATCTCCACAAGGTACCTCCCTCACTCGCACATACCAGTGCCGTAACGGCATTTGACCGTCCGCGCGGGCGGCCGCCAGGCCGATGACAATACGAACCTTACGAGTACGAGCCAAGTTATGCTACAAGGTATCATACAATACTTGTAACGTTTCACCCCTACCTATTACTTTTGAACCACCCATTGCCTTTTTTCCCAACTATTCAAGCTGATATCCGTCCATTTCACTCACACGCTCTCTCTCCCTCTCTCTTTGCCTTTTCCCTTCGTTACTTTGTTTTCGCCCGTTGGCGGTCTCTTTCTTGTGTGATGTTATGTGGGTGCTGTGGACAGGGTTGCTGTTGGGACGTGTGCTAGGATATTTGGAAGATCATTTTTTTCTTTCCTTTTGACGTCGAATATGATCATGCTTGCGATTATCATTTGGGCTACCAGCTGTGATTTTCAGGGTATTGGGTCTGACACCAATGTCGGATGTCGCGAGTATGATAATATGATATCCCATCTTATAAATCGGTACTGGACATCAACCTCATCGAGTGATCGACCATGAACATCAAGATTCAGGACTGTATTCATCACTTATCCATTCTAGCCCGTCACTGCAATCTACTTGCCCAAATCAACAAACATAATAATCACAACCAACTCCAACTAATCACAATACGATACGATACAATCCTCGTGCTTTTTCATTTTCATTTTCATCTTCATGCCAATTCATGTACGATCAAAGAAACATAGCCAAGCCAAGGAGATCAGGACAGAAAACGTACAAGCCAAGAACCCCAACAACATATTCCAAACCTCCCCAATCAGTCAATCAAATGCAAAACACCATGTTCAAAAACGGAAAAGAAAGCGGAGAAGGGGGTAGCCACGAATTAAGGAAAAGATAACAGGAGGAGGAGGAGAAACAAGGTTATAGTCATAAGTAGTATCACCGACTGCTAGCTCCGCTTGAGGTCTCGCTCGCGGGAATGGATGGTTCGATGACTTGATTTCTGATGGTTAAGATCTTTATCCCTCCACAATTAGTCTGCATCCCCCACCAAAGTGAACAAAAGAAAATAAATGGGACAAAACACACCCACTCATGCTGCAACAACTCCGCAGCAGAAGGCCTAATTCCCGGATCCCTCTCAAAGCACTTCTTCAAGAAGTCGATCCCACTCTCACTCAACTGGTCCGGCGCGGGCAATTGCGGAGGGTATCCCGCAGCGATATTCCACATAATAGCCCACTCATTATCCAGATTCGCCCAGGGTCTTCGTCCAGTTGCCATTTCCAGCACCACGCAGCCCAGGGACCATATATCGATGCTACCGTGGCGGCCCTTATCCGAGCCCGTGATCACTTCGGGGGACATGTACATGGGTGTTCCGGTCATGGAGTTCAGGTTTGTGCGGGCGGCAGTGGCTACGCCGCCACGGCGCGTTTTTCCCTGACGTGCTATCACCTTGGCGGCGCCGAAGTCGACGTATTTAATTATGCCGTTGTGGTCCAGCAAGATGTTTTCCGGCTTTATGTCGCGGTGCACGATGCGCGACTCGTGTAGGTAGGCGAGGCCCTCCAACATCTGTAGGGTGTAGATCATAACGACAGTCTCGTCCTCGATGCGGCCGTGCTCGAGGAGACTGGCTAGGGAGCCGCCGGAGCAGTACTCCATGAAGAGGCAGACCTTGTCGCGATGCACTTCTATGCCAAAGTATTGGACGATATTGGGGTGGTCGAGGAGTTCTAACACGTGCATTTCCTCGCGGATGGCGTTCGCAATTTGCGGAATTACTTGTGGGTCCTGGAGACGGATTTCCTTGACCGCCATTAGGTAGCCCGAGTCTAGGTTCATTGCTGCGTACACCGTGCCGAAGGTCCCGCCACCAACGAATTGGCCTTGTTGCCAGCGGAGGGAGACGTTCGAGAAGGAGGACTTTGACAGGGAGGTTAGGGATCGGTCGGTCTGGTTGCTATCGTCCAATACTCGGCCGAGGGCTTGTCGCTCGCTGAGGAGGCCCTTGCGGGCGTTGTCGATTTCGGTTAGTTGACGGAGCCATTCTTCCCGTATGCGTTCGGCAGCTTCGTTATCTTCAAGGAGCTTACCCATGTCCATTTTCTTAACTTGGCCGGCGAGCATCTCCATTCTTTGCTTCTCGGCTTGTGCCGCGAGCGTTGAACGAGCGCCCATGATGTCGAAATGCGAAATCAAGAGTGACATGCAGCCGGCGACTTTGGACCTTAGCCGCTCGTACTCTGCCTCACTGAAGGAGAGAATGTTCTGACCACGGGTCATGACCATAGCAAATTCTAGCGCTTTCACAGCCCATCGAAAAGTCCGACGATCGGAAGCAACGCAGTCATCGCATATGAAGCTGACCCAGTCGATGGCAAGCCGAGTGAGCTTAAGATTGTTCATTGCCTTTCGGTTATTGTCCATGTAAAGCACTGAACGCTGCCCAAATTCCGTCGCAAATGCAAAACAAGTCTGGATAAGTTCCTGGCAACCTAATCCTGTGGTCTGCCTCCGGATTTTTTCCACACTATCCATAATAGCGTTCGACAGTCTGTAGGTGGTCTTCTTGATCTTCATCAATTCCTGGTCGACCCGTGGAAGATTAGCCCTCTGTTCAATCAAAATGTCAAGGCTATGATTCGTTGAGTGAGAGAATGACATCCGAGCATTTGCTAGTCTTGCTAGGGAACCGTCTGCTACTAAACGTAATCTTCCGGGTTTGATATCCACAATCGGCTCCCTCATATCAATATCCAAAACGGGTCCATCCCAGGCTAGCTGGTCTTGTGGGCAGATGATCAGAACATACGGGCAAGATGGGTCCTCTCGGACGACGTCATCGTGGAAACATGTACGAAGGATCGATTGGATCTGATGCGGGCGGCCAGATAAAGATGGATCCGCCACCAAATATACTCCCTCATGTTCCACGCTAGCGGTATAGACCAAGAAGTGGCCCGACACTATCAGGGCGCCGACTAAGTCTTTAAGTTTATGCTCTTCAACGTTGTACTCGCTCGCATTCTCAAAACGCTGGCTCAAAAGTCTTGAAGAAGAAAAAAATTTAGTCAAGCCTTAAACAAAAAATGAGGACTTTACCTTGCAAAACGGAATAATTTACGCTGCCGCACACGAACAGAATCCAAGATCTGTTTATACCGTTTGCTGATATCCTCTCCTCTGGCCTCTGGAGGTTTCTGTAACTCCTTCTCGAAATGGCCCATCAACCTACTAAGTAATTTGCTCGTTAAGGAACTACATTGTGTCAGCTAGTTACATCGATCCTTCTGTAGTCCCCCGACGTACCTAAACTGCTCGGCGACCTCAACATCACCCCCCTCGATAAATCGGCCGATGTCATTAGAGAAATTCCATTCCGTCTCAAGGATTTCGGCCTCCTTAAAAGTGTTCTTGTTGGACCCGATCCTCCAGCCGATAAGCTTGAAGTAATACCTTAACCCATGTAACACCACTTGTTCGAAGCTCTCGTCCATACAGGGGGGAAGATTCCAGCCGGGCTCCGGCTCCGAAATTATCATGTATTTCTGCTTAATATCCACAGCAAGCCGGAGGACAGACTGGAATTGCATAATCAACTGATCCGTCATCATTGACACTGGTTCCCTCATGTTCTCAGCATACTTGAGACGCATACCGATAACCTCCTCAATAAGCCTTGTCGGAAATCCAATGAGAACCAGCAGCTCTTCGATGTATGGTGGTAAATGGCGCTTCCCAAAAGCCTCAGAATACTCGATCAAAGTCTCCTTTGCCTTAGCAATCACTCTACTCAAGCCAGATAGCATGTTGCTCTCTCCAATCAACGACTTCAGGTTATCCTCTTTTAAAATCCGATCCAAGAACGACGATCCCCGATCAATGTTGGAAACATCACCCACGGAGGTAACATTTTGCCGGGCAAAATCCAAGTCATCATTCCCAACCCAATTTTGAAGGATTTTGAGCTCTGTCCTGATCAGTTCGGTGATATTGCTCCAGGCGACGATCGCGTCCCAACTTGCCGCGAAAGGCGAGGAAGCGCAGTTTGGCTTAGCGCTCATCAATGCTGCCTGGGTGGGCCATAGTTGCTCGCACCTCTCCCATCTCAAAATAATGTCGTGGACTTGCTCTCTTGGGCTCTTTTCCGTTTTATCCTTTCCTTGTATTTCAAAGTTTATAATATCACTAATTAGTGTATCCACTTTTGCCCTACCCTCCTCCAAAATCCTCCTCTGGGCCGGAATTGATCGGCCACACACCTTCGCCCTTAGACCGATGAAGAGCTCAGTCTTCATGGTTACACCTTCCTTCTCTTCTGTACTACCGATCAACCGCTTCTTCTCTTGTTTAACCACATCCCCCATCAAAACCGATGCAAGCATAGAATGCCACTCCAGGCGCTCCCTATTCTCGGGAATCTTGAGTTCCTCCGCCGATGGTTCCATCTCATCGTGACCGTAAAGCAACAGCGTATCCCCATCATACATATCATCCCCAAAGTGAACCTCGGAAGGAGACTCATCCTCCATCTCGAACTCATGTTGATAAGAGCCCAAAAGACTAGAACCAGAGCTAAAATAGTCGCTATCCGTATCCTGGCGCAACCGCTGTACATAGGCTTTCTCCTGGGATCGGTAGAGTGCGCTAGGATCCCGGCGGGACCGGTTAGCCGACGAAGACCTATGCCTCGAGCGCTCGTTCGTCATACTCATTGGGTGACGTTGTAACCCAGGAGCATAGGTATGCGATGGTATTCGCATGGGGGGAGGGGGCCTATGCAGTGACGACCGATCGACTACGCCTTCCGGTGACATTCTTCCGGAAGGTTCGGGAACGGGGTAGGGTAAGGAGCGGACACTATTTCCCGTCCTCCCAGACCCACCCCAAGAGGAATAACCTCCATTATGAATCGAGGCAACACCATCCCCGGACACCAACACCTCCTCATCGCCATCCAATTCATCGTACTCCACAGACATTTGTCGACCGGAACGTTGAGAGTCGTCGGAAGAGGCGGAATCGTCTTGATGCGATAGACGCGCTACGCCATCCAGAGATCCGCTAAGCAGATGAATATCAGAAGAGAAGTCCTTGGAGATAAAATGAACACCCCTTTGCCCAGAGAACTGGTCGGGGTCCAACTTCCTAACGGATGAAGTAGCCATGCGATGAAACCGAGGGTGGATAAACAGAATAGCAACGCCGTTTCTTTCCAGTAAACCGCAAGATTCTCGGGGCAATTAGCTGAGGTTAAAGGCTCGTGGGTAAAGGGAGGGGTGTTGTGCAGGGCAACCTAATAGGTGTCGGCCAAAAAAAGAATTGAGGTTGGACAGGTCTAGTGATTGGTGGACACGTCGATGACGGCAATTTGCATCTTTACCCTGGAAAAAGAGGGAGCGAATGTCGGAAAGTGGATACTGTAGTTAAGAGAGAAGAAGTACTCTTGTGGGGTTCAGAATCTACGGTAATTGATCCTAAACCTTGGTGATGAGAGGCAGAGGAGGGTAAATTGAAGGTTAAGAAGGTTTTCTTCGAGTGCCACAGACCCTTCTAGTGTGGCGTTGCAATAGCAGCTCGAGTGATGAGCCCAATTCTAGGCAGCCGCGAACCGGCCGTTGCCAGGTTTCGGCAACAAGGTAATGCCGAGCCGTATTAGAGATTTGTGGCGCCAAGTTCCCCTTCTCAACAAACCCAAAAGTCGAGTGATATTAGGTGATTCAAGTCTAGAGTCAAAGCCACGGAGAGCATCCTGCCTATCATATGATATCTGTTTTTCATCGATGCTCTTGACCGGTGCGGTACCGGCTTTCTTTGTGGGCACAGCAGAGGCTAGAAGTGCAATGCTTATATCAGGGCAGCAATATAAGTACACATCTTCATAATCTTGGTCACAATAGATCAATCTAGAGGTGTTATGGTACTACCCGGTGCATACTGCAAGCTCACATTGCCCGGCATCATACGACGAATTGTTTCACGTAAAACCTGGTTACTTTGGTAGCCCCAGGTATACTCGGTCCATCTGAGTAAACTTGAGCACGGTTTGTTCAATCATTGCCAAATCCTCTGTTTGCCAAAGCTATCATTCGTAACCGCGCCGCGCCCCCCTCCATAGTACACTTGTCAGATTATGAAGACCAATTCCACACTTCCTCAAAAAGTTCTGACTTGCTCCAACTACATTTCCTCCTGAGCCCCTCCCCCCGGTCGGCCCGGAAGCCATTCTCCTCTTTTTTTTTAAAAAAAAAAAAAACATTTTGATATCTTTCTTTGGTCCCCTCTGATAGGTCATTTCATTTAGCAGCCATGTAAAAAAAGCAGTACCTCCTCGACAGTATGTCAACTCAATCATTTCCCCCCGGCACCGAAAACGGGACAGGGAGCTACAATACTGACAAACACAGACACTGAAAAGCTGTATTTCAGACATACCACGCGGCCCCAATAGCTGCAAAGTCCATTCCTACAATGTAGGCTATTCTATTACTTTAACGGAACATTGCAGATCCGCACTGGCCTGTCTACAGCTCGTGTTGGCGTTTTCAACATAGGATATTGGTTGGCATTGAGTGAGCTTGCTTTGAAAGTGGGCGTTGTCAGTTTGCAGAATGGATTTTGAGCTAAGGTTACGGTATTCATTGTGGTAGTGTTGTGGTTACATTCCATATGCTCTTTGCAATTTCAATCAAACAGGCCAGATTTCGAGTATGTTTTTAGTACTGCAGCAATGGAATACAGTAAACACCATTCTACTTTTCAATGCTATAGCTACAACTTTAAAAATTAATGAGAATCAATGCACAGAATATCACTCGATATCTTTGACAGAGCAATACTGTGAGAGTAAATCGTCTGTAACTTTAGATCATCTCCACAACTATATGTGCTGAGGGTACCCAAGTACCATACCTGCGACACTCTAGTGCTAAGTATTATCCAGTCAGAAAGCCTAGCAAGACTTCTCCGAAAAAAAAAAACCCCCACCAAAGTGCCCAGACTCACCCCACAAGCATCCAATATCAAAAAGGGGTCATGAAAACAACCCCACATTTCTTAATCTCAATTCGCGACAACAACAGCCCCGCCCGCACGTAAGATATCCACAGGCACTCACTAGTCCTCCTCCCCATGAATACTATCTCCACCCACCGTCCTTCCAAACACGCAAAAGACAAACTCATTTTTTAAGACCCACCGCCAATCCACCGTACTCAAAAAATAATTGTGGATTTTGTTTTTGTGGGTCCAGTAGAGTACAACCGTCAGGGAAGTGTGCCATTGCCCTGCAATTCACCCGGGGGGGGGGAAGTCCTGAGGAGGGGTTTCATGGAGTGATGGCGTATTTTATATTCCTTTCCTTTGCAAACGTACCCCCTTCCTTCCTTCCTTTCCGCGCAGGGAGCGGGTTGACTAGACCAGACCAAAGACAGCCCGGGGGCGCATCTCACACCCCCTCCAGCAGAGAAATCCGAAGGAATCGAGTTCATGAATCCTGCTTAGCACTATGGTGCAATCACGGAGCAAATGCAAGTTGCTGTATATATAAAGCATATAATCCATTGTTGGGGCAGGCGGGTAAGTTAAATATGACGATCCAAAGACACGCCGTCGAATTGCCAGCAGTAACATACAATACACGGATATTACGATGCCCGGGGATATTACGAGACTGACCTGCTGAGGCAACAACCAATGAATTCCTACCATCCTCAACAAAACATGGCAGTACAGTCTGAATTTTATTCTGAGTAATACAGTGATTAAGGAATATAAGCCAGAAGAGAAAACAAAGAAAAATGAAAACATTTAAGGAAATGATTACAATGAGTGATAACATATGACTGCATTTTGGATGTTTCTCCTCCTCCTCATCAAACTCTCCCAAGTGCATATTCCGGAATGATCGACGGTTGCGAGTTGCTTGGTCTGGGTTTCAGCATTGGTTTCCAGAGGTTTCGTGGAGCTGCAGGATGTGTAGGGTGTTGTCAAGAGGTAGAAATCCGTCATGGTTGGTTGTTTCCTCTTCCAATCTACTCCTCCTCCCTTTAACTGATCTTCTACTACTAGACCCTTTACCAGGTAGCTCACCCTCACTACCAGATGATTCAGAACTCTCATCCTCTACTTGCCAGCGCTTTTGGGATCTTTGATGATTACTTTCCTCCTTCTTTCTCTTTATTTCTGCTACCTTTTTTGCATTCTCCTTCTGGGCAAGTTTTTCCTTATATGCCTTATCTAAAGCCTTCCTCCCAATTACCTCTGCCCATGTAATAATCACACCTGTGTGGGCCTTACTTGCCTTTCGCTTTTTCAGCTCATCTGACAGCTGTTTTTCATGAATTAATGACTGAGCAGAGGTACTTGTTGCAAAAGAGGCGAGCTCATATCCAATCTCACATGCTCTTGCCACAGACTCCACGTTGGTTAATTCAAGTTCTAGTTGCCTAATCTTGCTTGTCGGAGTGTTGCTATTGGCTAGAGGGTGAAGTTTGTAATGTCTTTGATAGACTGGGGTAGCATTTTGGAGATCAGGATTGGTGAGGACACACCGTCAGTTAAATGGTGCTATACTGGTACAGCGAAAAGCAGCCTTAATATTACTCTCCATCAAGTCTTTCCTGTGGGCCTCCATTACCATAGAAAAGAAATCGCCTTTGTGGATGGTTGAATAAACACCGTGATTTCTGAGAAACTCCTCAACTTGTTGTCGATAATAGGAACCAATAGTACCAAATGGATTTTGGTCAAGTGGTTGAAAGATATGGGTTAGGTGGGAGGGAAAAAAAAGCAGCTGTATCTTGTGGGTCCAGCAGTAGTAGTAGAAGTCAAAATCCTGATGGGAGGTATGATTGTCAAGTAGCAATAGTTAGTAGGCACTGGGAGAGGACGGTTGACAGTAGATTGCAAAATGTTCTTCCAACCACCTTAAGGACAATCACTTATGCATGTAGCCAGTTGTGCAAATGCTGAAGGTAGCTTCATCTCTTTCGGTATAGTCATGGCAGCTTTCACATTGGGACTTTGCTTGGTATATGAAAAATGGTGGAATGCTTTATCCTCCAGCAGAAATAGTATCAACTAATGTGACCCATTCTCTACTACCATCCTGAACTAAACGTGCATTCCTCTTGCCAGCCCTACAGAAGACCTTTCCTCCAATAGCCTGCCCAATTACAAAGCCTTTTTTATCTGAATTCCAGATATCCTCATTGAAAATCTTGAATTAACTTTTCACCTCCGAGAACCAATTAAAAAAGGACTTCAGTCTGACTGGCTCTTGTGCAAGCACCCGATCTTTGTTGATTGGTCTTGCTACCTTATGCGCTAGCTCTGAATAGTGTTTTAAGAACCGATCTGTCCAATGCTTTTCTAGCTGTACTGAATCGGTAGCAGTTCTCTGCTTTATAAGATATTCGACCATATCCCGCACATGCTGGCACCTTGGTGGAGTTCCCTGATCATCCATTTTGTTGATCCAACCTACTACCCCTTCCTCCTCCCCAGGACTCAAGTGCTGCTGGGTTGCATGAGCTGTTGCATGAAATTTTATCCACTTATGCCAATGATTTCCAAGAGTTTTGTCATTCAGTCCATGGACACAAGTGACGGTAAGAATTTTGAGATTTGGATTGACATCAAGTTGCCTGCAAGCTTCTTCAATTTTAGCTTGATGCTGGGCTTTGGAATTTCGCATTTTTGAGGGGTTTGGAGTCTTTGTTGTGTAGACAATCTGCTTTACATTTTCCCGTTGCTCTTTATAGTGTGTTCACGATTATGTCATTAACCCCGGGACTCGTAATAACACCGTCAAGTATGTTAACTCAACTCGAGACAACCAGAGGTTCTCAAGCCCGAACACTAGTTACCGCTTGGCTACCGCATCGCGAGTATCATGGAGGTTGAGAAGTCGGAATGTCGCCATTCGAGAACATAACATGGGCGGACGGTTTATGCGCGGTGGTGGTGCTTAGCGGTCCCTGCCCCTGAGCGAGAGAGTGGGATGGTGACGATAGCCGGGGATAACTTGCTCCGTGAACTGTATCATATGAGGACCATTAAAGCTCATTAACCAAAAAAAAAAAAATACAATAATTATCATACCAAAAAGGACGAAGCCAACCAACCAACTTAACCATGAGGCGGAGAAAGAAAAAAAAACAGAGTGACAAATCATGACCCACCAATCACCCAGAATTCCAGAATGCCCATCTTCCCCACAACCACCGACGCCACCACCACGATCAGTCAAAAGGAAAACCCACCTCCCCCCCTTTTTTTCACCGTATGTACGATATCTATCATAACAGCTCTGGCACAACCCCCCTCTCCTTGCAGGCAAAATACAGTACTTGAATCATACTCGTAAATTAGCAGGTAGGGTAAGGGTAAAGTATGGCACCGGCGCATCACCAAATTTAACGGCAACGACAGCAATCCTTTTACGTAAATCCCCCTGACCGATCCGCCGGGGTA